TCTAACCCATTCTACTTTACTAGCCGCGAGCTTAGAACATTGTATGATAGTGCCCATTTCTAAGGGTATTCCTCCAGCCTTTGATAAAACACAAATTTCTTTATGATTGTTTATTGCTATTGTCATGTCGCCTCTACGAATTTGCTCTTCTTTCAAAGAGGGATCAACCACCCACAAGTCACTGGGTTGAAACAAAATTAATGAATGAATACAAAGAATATTGATAAAAAGGAATCTTGCAGTACCCATTTTCAAAAAATGCAAAAGTAACACAAATTGGCGTATGATGGATACTCAATGGAACCGGATTTCTTTGATCAACCGGATGCTATATAAAAAATATATGCCATGTGCACAATTAAATAAAGAATTGAAATATTAAAACACAAAAGAATTTTCGAATTTGGGATAACAATACTATTGTGACATCTTCTCCAATAACTGTGACATCAGGCCTCCGAAAATGAGAGAGGGCAGATATTGCAGCGATGCATGCGGCGTCGACGATATTTCCATCATTATCAAGAAAATGCATATCAACATGAATCGACCATGCCTGATAAATCAAACAAAATATAAATAACATATATAAACCGATATTAATAATGATTCTATTGCTTGAACTTACTAGCTCATTAGCAACGATGCATAATCCCTCAACATCAACTGCGCGATTTATTCTTATTGCCTTTTCAAGAATTCTACTCACAAGAACTTCTTCCTCCGAAGGTCTTGCATTTGTTTTTGAATTTTGATGACATTAACAGCAATTTAAATAGAAATATCATGAAAAAAGATAAATCACAGCAGCCTACCTTCCTGATTCAAGACCTGCGAATGCCATTGGTGACAATTCTGTATTCAAAGTCAGAATTCCTTCTGTTGGACGGTCAGGATATGGACGAGTGACTTCACATGAAACTTTAGCTAGTACTCTAATTTATAAAGGAGAAAAGAAGTCATGTATAATGTAAAGATTTTAAATTAAAAAAAAAAAGCTATTACTTTGTAGCACCAAGTTTAACTTCTGAACGTCCATATTCTGGTCCAAGATTAATCTTTAATGGTCTAAAATCGTTCATGCCACGTCCATCAAGACGGATACCTTCCTTTAATCCTGATAGAATCAATTCTTTTTCATTCGTCGAAGGATCTGACTCTTTGACCATGGCGAAGTTTATTTAAGCACGTACGCACGTAGATCAATCTTAAATTTGAACGGTTTTC